TCATAGGGTTTCCAAGGAGTGCCTGGTGGATTTGAACAGCCAACCTTTTGGTTAGCAGCCATAGCTCTTAACTACTACACCACCAGGGTTTCCACAGATTGAATAAGTATGGTGAAAGGATACAATCCTGACACACATCTTTCTTAACCTTAAACTATGCAGTATCCCCTTGTTCTTTGAAAGACTGCCTCTTGGTCTAAGTACAAGCTCCTCATGAGCACAATTAAGTGTTCTGGAATTCCGATTCTTGGCAATGTTATCCATAATTTGTTATGATCCACACAGTCCAATGCCTTTGCACAGTCAATAAAACACAGGTAAACATTTTTCTGGTATTCTCTGCTTTCAGCCAAGACCCATGTGACATCAGCAATGATATCCTTTGTTCCACATCTTCTTCTGAGTCAGGCTTGAATTTCTCGCAGTTCCCTATTGATGTACTGCTGCAACCATTTTTGAATGATCGTTAGCAAAAATTTACTTGTGTGTGATATTAATGATGTTGTTCAATAATTTTCTCATTCTGTTGGATCATCTCTTTTTAGAATGGATACAAATATGGAACCCTTCCAGTTGGTTGGCCAGGTAGCTGTCTTCCAAATTTCTCTGCATAGACGAGTGACTGCTTTCACTTCTGCATCAGTTTGTTGAAACATCTGAATTGATATTCCATCAATTCCTGGAGCCTTGTTTTTCACCAGTGCCCTCAGTGGAGCTTAAACTTCTTCCTTCAGTACCATCAGTTCTTGATCATATGCTACCTCCTGAAATGGTTGAACGTTGACCAGTTCTCTTTAGTACAGTGACTCTCTGTATTCCTTCCATCTTCTTTTGATGCTTCCTGTGTCGTTTAATATTTTCCCCATAGAATCCTTCAGTATTGCAACTTGAGTCTTGAATTTTTTAATCAGTTCTTTTAGCTGAGAAATGCCAAGTATGTTCTTCCTTTTTGGTTTTCTATCTCAAGGTCTTTGCACATTTCATTATAATACTTTACTTTGTCTCCCTGAGCCACCCTTTGGAATCTTCTGTTCAGCTCTTTTACTTCAACATTTCTCCCTTTCGCTTTAGCTACTGGACATTCAAGAGCAACTTTCAGAGTCTTTTCTGACATCCATTTTGGTCTTTTCTTTCTTTCCTGTTTTTTTAATGACCTCCTGCTTTCTTCATGTATGATGTCCTTGATGTCATTCCACACTTTAGTTGTTAGTGTTCAAAGTGTCAAATGTATTCTTGAGATGGTCTCTAAATTCAAGTGTGATATATATATATATATATATATATATCACTATTACCAGGCACTTCTAAGCACTCCAGGAGATACAGAGATGAATAATATACCATCAGTGCCATCCATTCATTCACTAATTCAATTTAATGTATATATATATTTGAGCACCTACTTTATGCAAAGTGCTGTTCTCAATATTAGAGCTACAGCAGAGAACAAAACCAAGTCCCTAACCTTACAGAGTTTACAGTCCAGTGACATAAATGTGCAATTTTATAGTCTGATCAGACAAATACACAAATAAATATAACACAACAAAAAATATAAAGAGCAAAATAAAGATACAAGCAGAGGACTATGGCATTTCAAAAGGAGAAAAGATCACATTTGGCTGTGAGTGAAGAAGAAAGGCTAGGTGGGGAGTGGGGAGGTTGTTCAAAGTGGCTGTGAAGAAATGGTAGGAGGAAGAAGAAGCAGGGCAAGGAGTATCTAGGCATGAATGACGGCATGGCATCTGGACAGCATGGGGCACAGTGGAGAGCCAGATTTTGTTATATCTGGCATAAGTTGGAAAGAAGTAGAAGGTGGGGCTGCAAAGATATGTTGGGGCCAAATCATGGGAGTCCTTGGATGACTTTGCAGAAGTGAAGCCAAGTGACAGGACTGAAGAGCTGGTGGGATGGATTAGAAGATGTAATAGAGAATGTAGGGCAAAAAAGAAGTGCTTTCCAAACTTACTTTCAGTCAAAACTCATTCCTTAATGGCTTGAATATATTGATTATTCCTTTTCATACATGGCTGTTGATCATTGCAGAGCTAAACACAGATTTAAATATGTGGCTGAATAGCTGCATATTAGCAAACCTACATACCAGTATTTTAACAAGCATTCAAGCATTATTATAATAAACCAAACAAAAAACAATCCATTGCCATCATATTGATTCCGACTCAAAGTGACCCTATAAGACAGAATAAAACTGCCGCCTAGGATTTGCAAAGCTGTAATCTTTATGAAAGCAGACTGCCACATCTTTCTCCTGTGGAGCAGCTGGTGGGTTCAAACCACTGATCTTTCAGTTAGCAGCTGAGTGCTTAACCACTGCATCACCAGGGTTCTTTGCTATTATAATAGCAACTAGCAATTCCATGAGGCTTTTTATTATAAGGAGCCCCTGGGTAGTGCAAATGGTTAATGTGCTCAGCTGCTAACCAAAACGTTGGAGGTTCAAGTCCACCCAGAAGCTCCTCAGAAGAAAGGCCTGGCAATCTGCTTCCAAAAAATCTTCCCTTAAAAAAACCCTAAGGAGCACAGTTCTACTCTTGACACATACGGGGTTGCCAGGAGTCAGAATTGACTTGATGGCAACTGTTATTTATTATTTTTATTGTAAAGATATCTCAGCATTCCATCATTGTTCACCAGAGACCCAATAAATTGAAGAGTGTGACCCCAGAGCCTGTTCCTGCAGGAGGACATTTGAAGCGGGAAGCTGGATGACCATCCTCCAGCCACCTACACCCCCATCACATCAGATGCTGAATGAGTGGGGACCTGAAGGTGACAAAGGTTGTTCACCTCAAGGCTTTCTGACTCCTTGAAACTTAGCTTCCACATCTCTTCAGATCCCACACTCCTTTTTGTCTGTAATCATATTTGAGGTCCCCTTCTTGCTCACATCTTTCCGTGATTAGAAGCTCATTTGGGATCATTGGCTGATTCTGCTTCTAAGACGTGGCTACTTTAGTTTTAGTCCCTTCACTCCTTGCACCTAGACTTAAGGGCAAGAGGGGTAGCATCTGGCTGACAGGAGCGTAAATCATTCCTGGTCCCCATTTGCCTGGGGAGAAACTCCAATCAAATTAGCTGCTCAGCATGGTTATCGGAAAGGCAGAAAGCCATAGATGGGTGCATGAAAGCAGAACAGGTGTTCCTCGGGACCCTTGCTCTTTTAATCCATAGTTTGAAGTTAACAAACCTCCAAAAGCAGTGCATTGTCGGGGGAAATGCATAGAGTTTGAGCTTTTGGAGTCCTTGACCTGGGTTCAAGTCCTAACTCTGCACTAACAGTTACATCCTAGTTACAGTCTCGTCTGTAAAATGGGTTAACAATCTCTGTTCAACCAAACTCATACAGTTGAGAATAAGGAGCAAATAAAATCATGACTCTGAATGTGATTTGCAAGTTTTAAAGTGCTTTAAAAATATACATAATGTTATACCCTTTTGATTTTCTGCAGCTCATAATTCTTTCTGCTTTCTCTTCTGATGATTTCTGCAGTTTTCATTAGAAGATTCACACTGAATTTTAAGATCTCTTCTGGCTTGCAAATTCAATTGCTCTATAAAGCCTCTCACAAACATCCTGGGCTTCAAAATAATGGGTTTAAGCTTTAGTTCTTCCCCCAGTGCCATCACCCATTTGGAGACAAAGCCTGTTAGTCCCTGAAAGTCATTTTTTAATCCATTTTTCTTTACTTAGTCAAGAACTATTGAGTACATGCTCTGTGCATGGTGCTTTTGAGGTACCGAGAACAACAGAGATAAGAGTATGATGTTATCTGAGCCCTGGACAACGTGATAGTCTCCAAAGACCGTCTACTTGAAGCTCCCATTGCTTGTTACACTAAGCACCATGAGGACTGAGCTGCCTGTCTTCCTTCTTTGATCATTCCAACCCTCAGACTCACTCATGTGTTCCATCTCCATCAGAAGAAATATTAGTTTGGCCCTGGGCTCCTGGAATTTGATTCAGGTAGGTGGGCCACCACCAGTCAGGGTGTGAGGAAAAAATAAGGTAATGAAAAAAAAAAAAAAAAAAGATAATGTATGAAAAGGCTTAAATTGGTGCTTGGCTCACCATATAAAGTCAATAGTTCTTTTTATGGATTGAATTGTGTTCCCAAAATTGATATGTTGAAATCCTAACTCCTGTCCCTGTGAATGTAACCTTGTTTGGAAATAGAGTTTTTCTTTGAAGATGTTATCACTTAAGTTAACGAGGTCATACTGGAGTGGGGGGGTCCTATTTCCTTCTGGGTGGTGTCTTATAAAAGGGGAGAATAGACACGGAGATGGGGTCACACAGGAGAAGACAGGTGCCATGTGAAGGTGCATCTAAAAACCAAAGAACACCAAAAACATCTAGGGCTCCCAGAAGCTGGAAGAGACAAGGAAGGGTCTTCCCCTTGAGTGGACAGAGAGAGTACGGTCCTGCCAATGCCCTAAATTTGGACTTTTGGCCTCCAGAATTGTGAGACAAGACATTTCTGTTCTTCAAAGTCACCCACTTTGTGTTATTTTATTACAGCAGCCACAGGAAATGAAGACCATTTCCTTATCTCTCAGGGGCACCAGGACTGATCACAGGGTCCTTTCTGGGAAAAGAACCTTAAAATGAAATCTGGGAAGAAAGAGACAAACTATATAGTGGGAGCAAAATATCAGGGTAAAGAACCAGGGAAGTCAACAGAGGTGGACATCTGAAGAGGTGAAATGAGGCCAGCTTGGTGGGTGGGCAGAGGGCAGTGCAGGATCCAAACATGTGATTTCTAGGTTGGATGAAGATCTCGGCTAGATTGCTTTTCAATCAATCTAATCTTCTAATTCCTCTCTCTCTCTTTTATCGTCATAAGGCTTTTCTTAACTACTCCCACAGTTAGTTATGAATGTGTCTGGAATTGCGAAGTAGAAACAGTGAGCTCATTGATTTGTGTTAGGACCATCTACTGTTTTCAATCCTTACCTCAGACGTTAAGGTCACCGGCATGCCAGCCCACAAAGACTTGTTCATTGGCCATGTTTGCCTTGGAATCAGTGGAGTGAGCAGGGTAAAGAGAAAATACTTAGAAGCAGTAAAAGAAAAGTGATAACTGTGATTACATGAACTTGCCCTTTTTCCCCCTAATGGTATCTGGATCATGGTCAACTGCCATAGATTCCTTTATCATGACTATAGTTGAATGGTCCAGGCCTATATAAACCAAACTTAGAAAATAAATAGGACATAGAAAATTCTATTATGCATGCAGTTTCTCTGAGAGAGGGGCGACATGAAATGCCTTGTAAGTATATTTCCTAATTTTGAAATGTAGATGATTATGTTTCCAGAGTCAAAATAGCCAGGGGGTAATTCTGTTGTTTCCCATGGACTCTTCATGTTAAGCCCAAATAGCATTTCCAAATATTAAGTTGATACCTAACATGCAAGCCTGTCTAATAACTAAAATGATCAAGAAATTTTTTGGATTTAGTAAAGTTATTCGTATTTTAGGATCTTCTCTTTTTAGATTCATCTTATTTACAAACGGATAGCAAAGGAAAGCTTCAGATATGTTTTATATATGGAACCAACTCTCAGAATACATTAATAAAATATTGTTGCTATCTGTATCTCATATACCTCCTTGATTGACTACTGCCCGATGATTATTGTTTGTAAAGTAGCTACTTTCTTTCTCTTTGAAAATACATCTCACCTTTTATTGTTATCACGGCATGGAGAATATTACAAGGGATGCTGTGGGGTGGAGGAGAAGGGGAGTTCCTGTCAAGTCTAGCTTATGTTGTGAGCGCACTTGAGCTGGGTCTGCCTTAAGGAGACAGAATATGGGGTGAGGAGTGAGGTTCACTGCAAGGCTTTATTGCCCTAGCCTTTTCCTGCCCAACCAATTCTCTTTCATTTACTCTCTGATGCCTGAAATTCCTTCAACCGACAAGGAAAATCACACTGAAAGGAAATAATTGATTAATTGCAAATATCTCAGGAAGTAGTAACATTTGAGTAAAATGTATTTCCAAATAAGATGTAAATAAGTGGTGAAGCTTTTTTTTTTTTCAAGCAAGGTGAAAGAATCTAGAGGAAAGGAAAGCAAGAGGATATCAGTCTCCAAAGGGGATCCCCAGTGGCTAAGAGGAGAGACGAAGGTGAAGAAAGGGAAGGCTAAGAACCTGAATTATCACTAATTGTACAATTTGGCCTAGGGATGGTCTGGCCCGACATGTAGATCAAACAGTTAATCCTCATATTTATTCCAGTGATTGGCAGTAGATGTACAGCAAACCATTACACTGGTAGGAAATAAAATGTACCCTTGAGTAAATGATAAAGCTTTGCCTCCTGAGTAGCCAGCATACCTCGTATCAACCACACTGAATGACAGCTTCCTGATACATACTGGGGCCTCAGGATACGAGAGACTGCGAAAGTTACAGATCATTTTAAGAAGGCTCTAAGCCTCAGCAGGGCTCTGGACTCATCTGAAGCTAAGGGAGTAAGGGTGCGTAGTTATTTGTTTGTGTTTCAGATTGTGTCTTCCATTCTCCTGATTTTCCTCCTAACTCCGTCTATGGCCTTGATGGTGAGTGAGGGTGGAGAGGGTTCAACCTTGTCTAGTCCTCCTTTATCAGAAGTATTTCAATTGTGATAATTAAAGGTAACCTCCCTCAAATTTCTTGTGAGTATCCATAATCCTGTATGGGCAAAGTAGGAACTCTGGACTTCGAGCTTTTCTCACTGTTGCTTGGTTTTCCCCAGAACACCAATGACAGCCATCTTCTGGATGGATCTGTTGGGACCCAAATCATCCATGTCAATGCCTTCCGAGGTATGGTCAGCATCCGGGACAACAATGTTTTGAGTGAATGGGATGGAATCATGGACTACAAGAATGTAAGATGTCAAATACATTCATTACGATGCCAAAGAAAACCTTGTCTGGCCCAAAATATAGCCTATGCTTTTCCAGAGAGAAGAGGACACTGTGTACATTTGCTTCCTTTAGGTGTAGGTTCTCGATGGGAATAGATGTCTTTAGGCAAGGGGCCAGCTTTCCTGCAGCTGCAATGACTTCTTTTTGAGAAGAGACTGCAGGAGGAACTTCTCTGGTCTAAAAGGATCCCACATCTCTTTGCATTCCTGTGAGGTGTAGACTTCACATGGCTACTGAAGACCTCCAAAATAAGAAAGCCATTTAAAGAGCTTCCTTTTGTATAACTGGTATGTGCTATAAAAGCTAGTTGGTCTTGACCTCAGATTTTAGTCAGTTTATTTCCAAAAAAAAAAAGAAGCATTTAATTTCATTTTTAGAAATCTTACTCAACTTGCCCGATTCCTCAGATAATAAAAACTAGCAGAAAGATGCAGAATTGGGAAGCAGGAGCCTATGCCCTTGCCTTAGCTGATAGAAAAGCTCTATAAACTTCAGGGCCCTCCCTTACCTCTGTCTCATCATCTGAAAAATAGCGTCTATAGCTGCCTTTCCTACAGGACTCTGAGAGGGTTAAATGAAGCAAAAGCCCAAACTCTTCACTCTGGCCTACAAGGCCATCTGCAATCTAGCCCCTGCTAGTTGGAAGCCACTCGCCCCACCTCCATTGCACACTCTCCAGCCACAGTGGACAACCTCAGGATGGACACCTCAAGCACTGGGCTTTCTCTTTGCTCCCAGCTGTACCTGCCATGCTCTCTTCCCTGAACACCATCTCTGTCTCTCACTCTTCATCTAATGGGCTCCTGGTTGCCTCAAGGAGAACTTCCTCCTGCAGGACTTGTAGTCTAGCGATTTCCAACTTTGTTTTAAGCCATGGAAACACTTCTACAAACAAAATGTTCCACAGATATCTAGTATATAGAACAGAAGAAGTTAGAACAGCTCTGGCTAGAGGAGGGAGATGCTAATGAAGTGCCTTTGGGGTCAGTCAGACTCACCTGGAGAACCACTGCTCTAATCCAAAGCTAAGAGGCCAACTGATGCAAATGACAGAGCCAGCGTCACATGGAAGGGGGTGGTCAGTAGCAGACCCAGGGCTAGAATCCGAGCCTAGGGGTCTGACTCTCTTACAGTCAGAGAGCACTCTATAACTCACAGGATGCTTTCACAAGCAGTAAATATCTCATCCTCTCATTTTCATGACCACCCCCTGGGAGAGGGGCTATTATTCCTGTTTTACACATGAGGAAACAGGATCATGGAGGCCACTGAGAATCATGATGGTAGCTAAGTGGCACAACAGAACCTTAAAGTCACTTAAAGTCAGTACCAGAGCTGACCCCCTACTCTCCACTCCCACCAGTTGGTTAGTGGGTTACAAAGAGTCCTGGAGGATTCCTTCCCGTGCGTATAGTAGGGGCAGCACCAGGGGCCTCGGGAGCAACAGCGCTCTGTGAGTGTCGCCATTCCTGATCCTAGTCCTTTGCTCTGGTGCCCAGGGCAGCACGCTGCTCTACCTCTTAGTTAAAAGAACAGGGTCCTGCCAGCATCCAGCGGGAAAGTAGGAGTCCATTAATATTTTGACGGAGTGAATGAAATGTTTCTGCTGTGTTGCTTTAAGGCCCTCCTGGCAGCTAAGCTGTTTAGTAAGATGGCCTGTGTCCTGGTCAAGATGAACCAAGCTGCCTTCCCAACTTTAGAGGAAATTATCGGGGCCCTGGATCAGCAGGTAAGAGAGAGAGCTCACTGAGGTCCCCACTTACTTTGGTGTTTTCCAACTCTGCATGCCGATCTCCTAGGACAATGTTCTGCACACAGGGGCACCTAGTTCATGCTTGTTTTTAATGCCCAGCAAATACCACCACCATGCAAACCACTCCAAGTCCAGCCAATGGCCCATTAAGTCAAATCATAGTTCAATCAATGAAAACTCCATAAATTATATAATTTTGATGTATTCCAAAAGGGTTTGAGGTATATGTCAATCAATACAAATTACTGAATATAAACACTAGAGTGAATTCATAAAGTATTTGCATTACCATGCCTTCCCTCTCCTCATCCCTTGACACCCCCCAGACACCACATTTTATCTTTAGCCTAAAATACCCTCAAACCAAACCAGTTGCTGTCATTGATTCGATTCCAACTCATGGCAACCCCATGTGTGAAAACAGAACTGTGCTCCATGGGGTTTTCAATGGCTGGTTTTTCTGAAGTAGATCACCAGGCCTTTCATCTGAGGTGCCTCTGGGTGGACTTGAATTGCATCCTTTCATTTAGCTGCTGAGAACACCGACCATTAAAAGTACCCAGGGACTCCCAAAATAAGCCTAGGATTGCTAAAACTCCCTTCCCCTCAGCCCCTCAAACAACAATGGTAGTCATACAAATTCAAACCAGCAGAAAGTCCTTGGAAAGTCATTGAAATCTGCCCATCATTTGCTGAAGTAACCTGCACAGCACATGTCGGCAACACTGTTGTCCATGGCAGGAGGGTCACTGACTTTGCGGGGAAAATACTCCTCAAGTCATAAAAATAAAGCAAGTGATTGATTTTTTTTTTTTAAGGAGAGAAACAGAAAGTATTCCACTCATCTGATTTAACAAGTAAAAACAGTATAATTACAACAAAGAATATTAAGACTATTCTACATTGTCATTAAGGAAAGATGGGAAAGCATTGGAGACTGGGAGAGTTGAGAAATTATGAAGGATGAAGGGGATACAGATTAAAAGATCACAGAGACAGACTCACACAGACTTTTCTGGAGCCATGTCGTCATCTTGTGGCCAGATAGGATATTGCTGTTAGAGGCCAAACTCAAGGGCAAATTTAGGTTCACAGCTTTTTTGGTAAATTGAATCTCCCACATGCACTGTGGCAACTTGCCTGTGGGCCAGTGTCTTAGTTACCTAGCGCTGCTGTAAAAGAAATATTATATGTGGGTGGCTTTAAAGAACAGAATTTTATTTTCTCACAGTTCAGGAGGATAAAGTCCAAATTCAGGCTGTAGCTCTAGGAGGAGACCTTCCTTTGTCTATTTCATCTTCTAGTAGCCAGCAGTTCTCGGGGCTCTTGGCCTTGTAGATCCACCTACTTCCATCGTCATCAGATAGTGTCTGTCTATCCTAGTTTGTTCATACATCTCTCTGTGTGTGCGCTACTCTTTTTATAACTCAGAAGTGATTACGTTCAGGATCCACCCTATACTGGTATGACCTCAACTGATCGATTACCTTGGATTAGATTGCATTATAGAAGGTGACTACATTATGTTAGATTAGATTACATCCACAAGTATAGGAATTAGGATTCCAACACATATTTTGGGGGGACACAATTCATTCCATAGCAGTGGGGTCCCCCTGGAATATGTTCCTGCCTCTTTGCTATACCACATCCATATGCTATCTCACCATTTTGTTATGCCACCTCTTCCAGGCTTTAAAGCAATACCCATCCACCCATGGCCTGACCTATACTGTTTTACCCGGCCGGGTCAAGAACTTAGCCCAGTATGGAATGCCCATCAAGGACATGTGCAGAGCTGTCCCCACCTACTTTGCCCAGCAACAAAAAGAAGGTGTGTTAACAACTTCACTAGAAACCCAAATCCGTCGGTGAGTTAGAAGGGGCAGTATTATTTCCAGATCATTCCAAACTCTAATGACCATTTTCAGGTCAGTTCCATTCCTTTGTTACTGGGTATAGAAATAATGTGGCCTGGAATGTATTTCCCTCTGGTGCCAGAAATGATCTCCAGGCACTGGGCTCACTGAGAGTAAGAGGTAGAGTTAACTTAGCTTTACCAGAAGGTTGAGTGGGTGGTCATCTCAGCAGGGATTTGATAGTCCATGAATATTTTCACTTGACCCAAAGCTTCATTAGCTCCTGCCGAAGCAGCACAGCTCCTGGCACTCCAACATTAGAGATCCGTTGCTTTTCAGTCCTCAGTACTCTTTCTCAAGCTGCCCAGAGGTTGAAAGGGAAGACCCTAACAGTTATAAACCACTCTTGGAAAGGAGAATTCCAGATGCTGGGACCCCAGATGGGAATGTGTGGGAGGATTGGTGGAAAGCTTGGAAAACACTGCCAGATAAGACTTCAAGATCTGCTGTTATTCCAGATTAGTCAGTACCATCTTCCCATTAGACTGTTGGCAGTCACTTACTTACATCATAGTATAAATTAATCAACTTCATTTATAACAGTAGGATCCAAGAGAAACACAGGGTAAACTTGAAGGGTTGAGGAATTAAAGATGATGATTAAGGATCAGCAAAGGAAATAAAAAGAGATGTGAGGCTAAATATTGCAGGGGCAAGAGGGATCTTCATTTTAGCCCATTCGCTTTCCCTAATAGAGTTATACTGAGCACCACATCTGATGTTAAGTGCAACTTATGATGTGTTCATTCTACTCTGGGATTTTAAGGAAATGAAGTGATGTCCTCCTTTGTAAAATTATTCTCTTTTTTCTTAAAGGTGTGGCACTGGCAACTGACCCTGAGTCCTGTTTTGAAATGCAACTTCTGTCCTTTATGGGGCTCGCCATCTGTGGTGAGATTCCTGGGCTCTGAACCTCCAGGTCAGCCACTTGGAGAGTGGACACTTGGATTAGGCTGCCAGTCTGGAGCCAGTGCTCGAGGGCCTGACCCTCCCTCTGTCTGTAGGATGCTGCTTATTCACTCCTCCACCTTCTGCCTTTTGACCAATGCCCAGCTTTGTAATCAGGAAAGTAAGGTGCATTTCTCCCTCTGGGCTAGCATAATAAAGCTTCCACTTGCCTCACTGATCTAGCAGATGGTTAAACTGAGCCCTCCCTGCCTACATGGTCCTCTCTCAAGTTACCGGCATTCCCAGCCACATGTAGTCCAGAGTATCACACACTAGCATGGGGTGAAGGGGGAGGTGCCTCTCCTAGGACATCTATTTCCTAAGCACCTCTCTTTGGGATATCCCCTGAAGAATGTCTTGACAATTTTGGCCAAAAGAAAAACTTCAAAAATAAACAAAAAAACACTAACCACAGCACAGACTTAAGTTGTCAGATCTGAGACTGCATCTCTGTCTCCTGAAAATTGGTGCTAAGATCCTAAGGAAGTCTGTTCTCTGTACCATGGAAAACTCCTGGGAGAGATCCAAGTGAAACTAGGCCTGCCAGATCTACGTTTTTGAACTGGTCCAAACCCTTAATCATAACCCCCAGGCATTTCTTTCCATTACAAATGAATAAGGGACTTGAATTCCTAGCACTAGTTTTTAACTGCCCAGTCCTCTATCTGGGGAGGTCCCTGGGTAGCATAAATAGTTTACTCTTGGCTACTAACCTCAAGGTTGGCAGTTCAAACCCACCCAGAGGCATGACAGAAGAAAGGCCTGACAATCTGCTTCCATAAAGATTACAGCCAAGAAAATCCTATGGAGTCAGAATCAACAGGACAGCAATGTGTTAGACTCCTGGCACTAGTTCTTTAACTGCTCATTCCTATATGTGGGAGGGGCAGAGCCCACCCAAACCACACAGAACATCCCTATCCCTCGCCCTAGGAATAAAAATAAAAGGGGAAGGAGTAGTGGCGATACAGACACAGCTGTCCACAGAGGGTCATGTGGGAATGTGTAACATTTTAAAATAGGGCTGGACTGAGCCAGGGAGCTATATAGTGTGTGTGCTTGAAGTGGGAGGATGCTGGCTGATGGAGGATGCTGCTGAAGGTCAGGTCCATGGAGGGTGTAGCCCTTCTGGGTCGAGTAGTGGCTTACAGTGTGGTTCTCTACAGCCACAAGGGAAGGATGGGGTTGTGTAGGAAATGCCTAGGATAAAGCTTTGACTGGGCTTAAATAGGGTATAGCTGGTTCAAGCCAGAGGCCCTGAACCTATGGATTTGGTCACATGAAGCTTGTCAAGGATAAGACAATTGGAGACATGTATACAGCCAGATGTTGGGTGGAATTAGTGGATATGAAGAGCTTTCCTCTTGTAGATTGTTACCTCATATTCCCAAGATGGCAGATGCATCTCCTACCAACAGCATCCAAGATGGCCAATGCATCTTCTAGCAACAGCAACATACCCACATTAAAGGGGAAATAATAAGGAAAGGGCAAAGGGCAGTATTCCTTGTCAGCTGTATCTGTCCATCTTTATCAGAAAAGAAAAAACTTTCCTGGAAGACCTACTTAACAGACTTCCACTTACAACTCATTGGCCAGAACGGAGGTCATATGGCCAAACAAAGACCAATCAGAGGCTGAGGAAAATGAGATTATTTCATTTTCTTAAGGAAAATAAGGTTGATTTAGACAAGCTTTCTCAACCTTAGCATTACTGACATTTTGGGCCAGAAAATTCTTTGTTGTGGGGGTTGCCCTATGCATTGTAGGGTGATCAGCAACATCCCTGGCCTCAACTCACTGGATGCCAATAGTGCATGTGCGCGCGCACACACACACACACACACACAGTTGTGACAGTCAAAAATGTCTTCAACCACTGCCAAATGTCTCCTGGTGAAGGCGGGACGAAAATCACACCCCAGTGAGAACTTCTGATTTAGACTAAACATCATTAATCCCCTGGAACTAAGGTAAGGGACATATTCCCTACAATTAAGAGATTTTTAAACTGCTACTTAAACAAATTAAGTTTCTGTTAGCAGGAAAGTGGGGGATAGGCAACAGATATTGGGTAATCAGGCGCCATTTTTGTGCCACAGGATATTAGCCAACTCTGATCAGCAGCAGATGAGCAATGTACTCCCCATGCCAATGCACAGACATCAGATAGAACCAGAGGCCACTTTGTACACTCAGGAGTTATAGTCCTTACCAGGGCTACACTGGGTGCTATGGGACAATCCTGAGTGGCAGCAGTAGTGGATTTTAATTTCATTACTCACTTTTGCTCTCAGTTAAGCAACAGAAAAGCAAGGGATCTCTCCCACAGGTCCCCCACCCCAAGCCTGGCCATATGCCCTACCCGGTACAGCAAAGGCTGCCCTCATCTGCAGGTCCTATCAGCTGGAAAGCTGACTACCTGGGGCCACCCCAGAGGCTGCCATGTTTTCAGAACCCTAAACCTGTCCAAGCTGTTCTAGATAGGGGTAGAAGAGCCATACAGGGTGCAGCAAGCTATACTGCAGTCAGTGTAGAAGGAAAGAAAAACACCAAGCCTTGCTAGTAGGGAAAGAGAGAGCTCCCTCTTCAGTCTCAGTAATTCAGCTTTGGAAGTGACTGGGTATCTCTGTATTCAATGGGGGGCAATCGTATGCCATATTAAAAAGCCGCACATGAACCGTGAGAGGGGTTTTCACTTCCCCAGAAATACCACCACCACTGCCACCTGCCCTGTCCCTCTACCATCTATGCTGCTATTAATGATAAATAAGGATTTTGACACTTAGGAATAGATGGTAGAGCTAGTTTAAAAAAAAAAAAAACCAAACCCGTTGCCATCAAGTTGATTCTAGCTCAAGATAGTCAAGAATATGAAGTAAAGTGTGATGCCATCACCATTGCATACAACTAAAGCAGCCTGTTTGGCAAATATTTGGAAAAGCAAACCCTCATAGTAGGCATTGTTTTTCTTTTCCCCTCTCATCCTCAAGGGGGCCTCTGTAAATACATTGAACAGAACTTCATTAAACATATTTACCGACAATCCTGCAGATGGTGCAGGACCAAGCAACACTTCATTCTGTTATACATAAGGTTGCCATGAGTCAAAGTCAACAGGATGGCAGCGAACAACAACAACGACTGTGCTAGGAACACCACACCTGGAACCGAAGAGACTGGGAGCCAGCAGGTTGGCATGGTAGCCCACGCTAACTATGCCAAGAGTAATGGCACCACTGATCTTAGGCTCTATTTCCTAGAAATCCAGCTATCTCCTAACCTCTGTTTTGGGGGATGCCACTGGGTAGTAGGTAAGGAGAGCCTCACCTAAAATGCAGCTAAACCGAGGGAAAGCCCCAAGTGGATCGCTGATTGGCAGCTGTGGCAACTCAGCACGATGTCACCAGGCAGCAAATACCCAGTGATCTTCTGCTAAATTGACAGGGGTTACAGTCCTTGAAAACGGAGCCCTGATGGCACAGTGGTTAAAGCACTCAGCTGCTAACCAAAAGGCCAGCAGTTCGAACCCACCAGCTGCTCTGAGAGAGAAAGATGTGGCAGTCTGCTTCTGTAAAGATTTACAGCCTTGGAAACCCTATGGGGCAGTTCTATTCTGTCCTATAGGGTGGCTATGAGTCAGAATCAAGTGGATGGTGGTGGGTTTGGTTTGGTTTTTGGTACAGCCCCCAAACTGTTATTTCCTCATAATTTTGAAGCTCTAAATAGAAATAAGGAAGCAGATGATTCTGTAAATGGCATTGGACTGGTTAGGATGTGGCCACTTTAAAGGTATAGTCAGAAAACTGGAAATGTAGTTGTTAAGAGCAGGCATTACAACAACTTTTTGCCATTGGAGAACTGAGGTTGGAGGTGGGCCCCTGCTTCAGTTCCCAAATGACAATAATGTGAAAAGATAAACAGCAGTGTGCTCCAAGGAGAGACAGAGTTGAGCTCATTGTTCCCCTCCACTTGATACTCACAGTGAGCTGGAGGGAGTGGAAATGAACAATACCTGGTGAATGCAGGAACCAGTGGAATCCCCACCTTCAATCGGCTGAGGATGGGAGGATTCGGTGTGTCAAGGACCTCTCTCCCACTGACTTAAATCCATAGTTGGTTATCATTTCCACCCACCCTCCATCTCAAACGTTCATTAATAGGAAACTGAGTAAGTTGTATTTTGTCCATATGGTGGAATACTTGGTAGCCATTAAAAGTAATGTTATATTTACAAATAAACACACACACACACTCCATACTAGATAAAGTGCTATATTTGATGACATAACATAATGTCACAATGCATCACTGAGTTTAAAAAAAAAAACTAGTCCCAAATTATAATTTGTTTAAAAAAAGAATATATGCATACATTTGAATAAAATACACATTACCTACTTAATATAAAAATTGATAAGGTATTCAATAGTTATTTGTATTATGTAATATTATGTAAAATTGTTTTTAATTATATTTAGAAAGTTGATAGTTATAGTTTTTCAATTTAGCTCTATGATCTGTATAGAATTAGTTTTTTTGTGTGTATGGTGTGAGGAACAGAAAACTCTTCATTTTCTTCCATGCAGATAACCAGTTGTTTCAGCACCATTTGTATGAAATACTTTTGTTTCCCACTTTGGTACCTATTTTGAAAACAACTGACTATATATGTGTGTGCCTATTTCTGAACTCTTTCTTCTGTTCCATTGATTTGTCTATCGTTACGCCTTAATTACTAAATTACTCCAATGCCTTAATTACTGTAGTTTTATAGTAAATATTAAAATGAGGTAGTGTAACTCTTCCAATTTTTTTCTTATTTTTTATTATTATTTTATCTGTTCTGGGTCCTTTGTATTTTCTAAATTTTAGAATTAGCTTTACAATCTATTCCTTTTAATTGGAATATTTTGACCACTTATATTAATGTAATTATTGAGGTTCAGTTTAATATCTACTGTCCGCTCTTTGTTTCCTATTTGTCCCATTGGTTCATTTTTCTGCTTTTACTGACTTCTTTTGAAATAATCATGTATTTTTAGTGTTTTGTTTTATCTCACTTATTGATATTTTTAAGTAGTTGTTCTAGGAATTAAAATATGTATCCTTAGCTTATAATGGTCTACACAGAATTAATGTTATACCACTTCACGCATAATGTAAGAATTTTACAACAGTATTTCACTTAACCCTCATTTGTGTTACTGTTGTCAAATATTTTAATTCTACATATATTATAAATTTCACGGTACATAATTTTTGCATTAGTTTTTAAATAAATTTTTTTAAAAAAGAAATCTTTTTATATTTATTATCTAATTAGCATTTCCAGTGTTCTCCATTCCTTCCTGTAGATCCAAATTTCCTTCTGATATCAATTCCCTTAAGCCTGAAGAACTTCTGCTGCGTTTCGTGTACTGAAAATCTGATGAAAACGAATTATCTTAGCTTTCGTTTATCTGAAAATGTATTTATTTTGCTTTTATTTATGAATGATAGTTTCACTGAATATAAAATTTTATGTTGATGATTGTTTCACTCTCCGCACTTTAACTCCATTGTCTTCTGGCCTCCATTGTTTCTGATAAAATGTTAGATAACATTTTTTCACTGTTTCTCTGTATATTAGGTATCTTGTTCTCTGTGGCTGATTTTAACATTTCTCTTTAACTTTGATTTTTAGCTGTTCGATTTTGCTGTGATGTGGTGCACTTTTTTGCTGTTTTTGTTTATTATGCTTGAAGTTTTCTGAGTTTCTTGAATCAGTAAGTTGATGTCTTAAATCAGTTTAGAGAATTTTTCACCATTACTTTTACAAATACTGTTCTATATCTTATTTTCTTTATTCTCCTTCTGAGACTCAAATTATACATGTTAGATCACTTATATTATCACACATATCTTTAAAGTTCTATTTATTTTGCTTTTACAATCAATTTTTTATCTGTCCTTTAGTTCAGATAATTTCTAATGACCTGTTGTAAGGTTCACTAGTTCTTTTGCAATGTTCAATGTACTATTAATCCCATCCAATAAATGTTTGATTCTAGATATTTTACGTTTTGTTTTAAGCTTTCAATCACCCATTTATCTTCTGAAATTCTCGTTTTATTCACTCACTGAATCCATAGTTTCCTATAGATTTTAAAAATATATTTGTCATAGTCACTTTAAAGTCCTTATTTGCTAATTCCAACATCTCAGATCTGTTCTGATTGACTTGTTTGTGTTCTTGACCATGAGTAATATTCTCCTGATCCTTCAGATGTCTAGTAATTTTTAATTATACACAGGACATTGTAGATACTACATTATAGAGATTTTGGATAATATTATTTTCCTGTGAAAAGTTATTATTTTTTGTTTTAGTAGGCAGTTAAGTTACTATTGTATTGCCTTGATCCTGTAAAGGCTTGGTTTTAGGCTTACTAGGATAGGTCTTGGAGCCCTGGTGGTGCAGCAGTTAAGCACTCAGCTGCTAAACAAAAGGTCAAAGATTTGAACCCACCAGCCGCTCTGTGGTAGAAAAGTGTGGCAGTCTGCTTCCATAAAGATTTACAGACTTGGAAATCCTATGGGACAGTTCTATTCTGTCCTATAGGGTCTATGAGTCAGAACTGACTCAACAGCAACAGGTAGTAGTAGTAGGATAGGTTTATTTCAGTTTTGCCTTTAGTCTTCAAGTGTAGCCCTTAGTCCAGAGAGATGTTTGTTTCTCCTAAGATGTGACCCTGATAAGGTTTCAGTGGAAAGCCCAAGTCTCTGCTTGACTCTTTCAGCCTTCCAGTTATTGATTTCCACTGGGTTCTTTAGAGTCTCACCCTATTCATGTGTAGTTAAGAAGTCTGCCAAGGATTTGAGCAGAGTGTTTATGTAGATTTGAGGCTCCCTCTTCTCTCATTTTCTAGGAAATCCTGCCTCGGTTTTCAGACACTCTGGCAACTCTGACCCTGACCTTTGACCTTTCAGCCCAGTAAGACTGCCACTTTCAGCCTGAGCTCTATTCTTTGCGTGCTGAGTGGAATGGACCATGCTCTGAGGGTAAAAGCCAGAGATATGTTTGTATCATGTTGTTGGTTTCTTTTCTCTCGAAGGTCATATCCTCTTTAGTTTCTGCTTGTTTTGGGTCAGTCTCCAGTGCCTTAAAACAGCTATTTTTCATCTTCTGTCTAGTTTTGTAATTATTATGCAGAAGTGTTAGTCTAATATAAGCTACTCCACCATTATCAGCAGTTGTTATTGTTGTTGTTATGTGCCGTTGAGTCGGTTCTGACTCATAGCGATTCTATAGAAGAGAGTAGAACTATCCCATAGGGTTTCCAAGGAGCAGCTGGTGGATTCGAACTGCTGACCTTTTGGTTAGCAGTTCAGCTCATAACTATTCGGCTGCTAACCAAAAAGGCTGGCAGTTCGTATCCACCAGCACCGCCTTGGAAACTCTGTGGGGCAGTTCTAGCCTGTCCTATAGGATCACTATAGGATCGACTCAACAGCAACGGGTATCAGCAGCTAGAAGTCTCAATATTTTATTAGTTCACCAAGTTATATTTACTTTGTTTGGGTTAACTAATGCTTAAGTCCATTTACTGAGTCAATTATTCAAGCAAATCATTTTCATAATAAAGTATTAGCTTGGGTCTACATATTCTAATCCTGAGGGCTCTAAATGAACAAGTTGTATTTAGTTCCATCTGCCATGTCATTTATGACTATGCTCACTAAAAGGAACAAAACTTTAGAGTAAAAAAGAACTCTGCAGTGCGATGGATCGCTTTTGTGTGGCCTTTCTCACCATGCACTTGTAACTCCCAGGCAAGTGACTGGGCAGGACTGTGTAACAGGGTAATTGTGGCCCACCAAAGGGATTGGTCAGTTTTGCCATCTCACTGGGCTTGAAATGAGCCACCCTAGAGGTGGGAAAGAGAGGATCCCACCACTACCAAGAAAGAACAGCAAGGATCCAGCGCATCTTTTCGACCTGGGACCCCTACACTGAGAACTTCCTGGAACCAGGAGACAGAGAGATAGAGCTTTAACACTGAAGGCAGTAAGAAGCTGTGGCAGAAACCTGGCAGCAGAGACCCAGCAGCAAGAGATAGTGTGGTAGGCTTCCTGGCCCAAGGAGAGAGAAAACTGAGTGCCTTTGGGCAAAAGCCTAAGGCCAGGGAGGAGCATGCCTGCGAACACAGCTGGGAAGAGGCTATCCTGATGGAAGAACTGTAGCCTGAGTGTTCCTGAGCCTGAATGGTAACAGTTATCTCCCTAATAAACCTCATAATCGTGAATATTGTCTGTGTATTCTGTGCAGCCATTGCAATGAATTATCGAACCCAGCAGAGAAGTAGAGAGTGCCGTGGGAGGGATAGTTGGTGTCAGAATTGATAAGGATAGTAGAAAAAGGAGGCATGTCTGACCTCTACCTCATAGGAATCAGCCTTGGGCTGTTGATCTTGATTCTCCTTCCCCCTTGTTAAGTTAGAGGAGGTCAGACTCTGCCCTCACGATGTTTTTTTACAAACTCCATCAAGAAGCCTCACCCAGCTCCCTGAAAAAACTCCTTTGACATTCACACCCTGACTCTTTGCTGCTGTATGGGCTAGCTATTGTTGCCTGACCAGGTCTTCCAGCATTCTTGATGTTTTGTTGTATTTGGTCCAGGTTTACTCTTCCTCCCTGATGATCCAGAGAGTGTCTCAGGTTGGTGAATCCAGTGAGTTAACAGGGTTAGTATATATCCTCCTCATCCCTTAAGAAGGAGCTCCTTTTGGAGCCCCAGTTTCCTATAGCTTGCACTGGGGCACATTCCTTTTAGGTATCTGCATGTCCACTCCTGGCAGGTATTCAATGTGACACCAGCACTGAGCAGATGATCAGGGTTAACTAATTTAGAGAAAGCAGAAGCGAACGTTCTGCTTTAAAAATGAGAATAATGTGATAAAAATTGATGACAGTAACACATCTTTAAGCAGCCAGAATGCTCCTTAGAAGCAAGGATGGCAAGACTTCGTCTTACATACTTTGGACATGTTATTAGGAGGGACCAGTCCCTGGAGAAGGACATCTTGTTTGATCAAGTAGATGGTCAGCAAAAAAGAAGAAGACCCTCAATGAGATGGATTGAAACAGTGGCTGCTACCATGAGCTCAAGCACAGCAAAGATTGTGAGGATGGCACAGTGTTTCGTTCTGCTGTACATAGGGTCGCTGTGAGTTGGAACCCACTCAACAGCAGCTGACAACAACAAGCAGTAGATTCTAATGGAAGTTGCCAATCATAACACTCTCCCCCTCCTCCTGGCTACAGGAGTAAGAATGTGCCCCAAGTGGGTCAACTATAGTCATTTCTAGAGATTTTAAAAATAGAACTCATTTGAAATTAGAATTAAGAGAAGTTACTTCCTTTCTGGTTACGAAGCTGGAAAGATGGGAACCGACAGTTCGGTCCTCATAGGGAAAGCCAATGTAAGAGACTGGGGCTGACATGTAGTGAGAAGGAGAGTTGACATGGAAAAAGAACATCTGGCCACCTTCTAGCACCCAGAGACCAGAATATCCCTGCCTTCCCATGGTTAGCAGCATGAGACAATAAATGCCCCTTATTTGCCTCAGCGAATTTAATTTAGGTTCCATCACTTACACACGCAAAGGTACTGGTAACACAATCTACCATTCATGTGGCACTTTATTATTTACTCTTTACTGTTAGTACAAATAGTTTTCACATAAACATCTTATTTCCCCAGTGAGAAAATAACTTTCTTGACTATGGTAATTTTGTCTTGCATCTCTTCCCCCAGCATGCCTATCCAGTGCTAACCACATGATAAGTGCTTAAAATATATTCATCGATGGTTATTGAGAAGTAAGCTTATGGTGTCAGGACTAGGACTAGTCTACGGCAGGTAGCAATTCTTATTAAACCAGTTCTTCTTTGTCCTGAACTCGCATGCAACTGATCAGTCCGCATGTGAGCCATCTATATGATCTGGGAATTTTCCCACATTACACAGTTTATTTGAAACCCTGACAACTGTTTTTCTATATACTGGTTTGGTATTCTGGGTCAGTTTCTCACCCCTGTTAAGATTTCCAGTAAGTTACATCTGTCCCTGGGTGATTGGTGTTCTTCCCTCCTGCCTCACCTATTACCGAGAAAAACAAATATCCGTGATGGTGTTTATTAAGGTTGAGTCTGTTTCTTTGGTTAGCTAAAATGCATTTCCTGGTTTTGTACTAGCCCTTGTGAATGGCCCTCAAAGCTAGATGCTTTGTCAAAGGGATAGTTTCCTTTACCTGAGCAGTCAAGCTGTTTGATAATGGTATATAAAAAGAACATAAACATTGTTTGGCTTGCCTTCACTGTTTACAAAAAAAGCAAACACCCAGATATCTGTAAATACAGTGTTTATGTTTTAGTATTGAATCTCTAAGTTGGAGCATTTAATTTAGCTGCTGAGTGGAAACCAAGAGTGTATCTCTTAAAAACACAAAACCAGTGGGCTGATGCTTAAAAGTGATTATCTCTACAGATGGAAATTCCCAAGATGCCCAGGAGCCCAGCCTTTGCACAGCCTTCAGCGCCAACATCATCTGAACAGGGGAAAATTTTCAAAGGAAGAGCATTAAGAAATATATTATTAGAATGCAGCAAATCAATGAATTTCATAAATTTTTGACTGTAGTTTGCAAACATACCCCTAAAGAATAAATAATAACTCAGTGGCCCAAGATTTGAGCTATATTTGTATTCCAAAGGATAATAATATATTAGCTTTGATAAGACTGACAATTCCTGGAAACACTGACTGGCTAAATATTGGTTGATGTTCCGGCATTCTGTGTTGATGACATCCATATGTGCCTTTATTTATAAGTCCAAATGACCATATTGAAAGAAAAATATCTTGATCAGAATTTTCTATGGACAGTAGAAATGTAACGAATGCTAATTCTTTTCTTTTTTATCTACCTTCCTCTACTCTGGGCAATTCCTTCAGTTCTATTCACCTGTTCACCTTGACTCTCTTTCACCCTAGCCACTCTATCATATTTAGAAACTTTGTGTAAAAATACCTGCAGTGACATGTCATATGTTACATGGATGAACTAGGGTTTTATTCCCTATCTATCAATGTGCTTCACCTGCTCTTTTCTGGAACAGTTCTATTCTAGATTTTTTGAATGTTTCTTAGTGACTTCCTTTAAAAAAAATACAAACCTATTGCTGTCGAGTCAATTCCAACTCATAGCGTCCCTATAGGACAGACTAGAACTGCTCCATAGGGTTTCCAAGGAGTGGCTGGTGGATTCGAACTGCTGACCTTTTGGTTAGCAGCCGAGCTCTTAACCACTGTGCCACTAGGGCCCCAACTTCCTTTTTACCGACTCCAAAATATGAAAATCTAAGGGCTTTTTCCTTCTTTAAATGTTTACATGTGAAAGAATAATAGAATCCAATAGTTTCTCCTTGCCACTCCAGAAATAGTTTTTCATTCCATCCCCTCTGTTTACTTATCAACTTCCCCAGTAAGTTATGTGTTCTTTGGAGGCTAAAGTTTAATTCATTTTTCATCCCTAACATTTGGCATAATCCCCACACATTGCAGGTATTTATTTCCCAAAGTAAGCCAGACTGAGCCAAGGTTTGCATTTATTTGTATTTCACACAACACCCAGCAGAGCACATGGCACATGGTGAGCTTGCAGAAAAGATTTGATGAATGAATGATTAATTGATACTCACCTATCTTTTCAACCACTTCCCCCTTGTACAAGGGGACGTGTTTGCAGAGATTCTCAATAGGTGACCCAAACAGGAACCAGTCCACGTCTGTGATCAGGGACTCCAGAGGATTGTACTTGACCCAGGTGTATTTGTTGGAGAACATGGTGTTCAGAGTCTAGATCAGTGCAACAGAGTAACGTTAATACCGTTTGGTATGCCTTATTCTAAATTTTGGCTTTTTTTTTTTTTTTTCCTCTTTCAGATTATTAAACAGAAGGCAGCCAGGGCCCTTAAGACACCATCTCTTTCTGAAAACTTGGTCTGCAAAAAAGTCTCATTATTGCTAATGCTATTTTACTCTTGGTGGTAACAAAACCCAGACCTGGTAAGTCCCATGCCAAAGATGACATGGATGAGAAGTTATGGAGGGAGAATTAAATCTCAGGTCTCTAGCCTCAGTGCAGTATATTTTATTCTCACTATACTATATTGTTTCTTTGGGTCTGTGTGTGATTGAGTATTATAAAATCACTCATTTTTCTGACAATTACTATTTCTTAGATCCCTGCTCTGAGAGTCTATTTAGTCATTTCTATAAAGATACTGTAATTTATTATAAGTTCTTGTATTTAGGTCTTTGTGGTAGAAGTCAAGTGAAGAGATGTATTCTTCCTCTTAAAAGTGTTGTAAAGTATAATATTATCCATGGTGATTATAATGTTACGATCTTCTCCATATGATGGAGGATTCTCCAATGACGAGGGTTCATCTTTCTCCGTAGCATCGGTATTGCCTAGCTCAAGAACAGAGAATATTCTAAGGGACACCAGAATTACCTGGCTCTCATAGATGTACCGTTGGAGTTTGTCCAGAGCAGGAATATTTTCATGGTTCATTTTCAGGATGAAGCAGGCCCTTCTGGAGAGCAACCTGGTAGCGATGTAGCCCTGGGGCAGAAAGAACAGAATTATTGCCCCTCCCTGATTCCCTGGGCTCTGAACTTGGATAGGATGATGTCTGACCCTTGGAGGAAAGACTCAAGTGTGCACAATAAGTGTACATAATTGCTTTACAGTCTGCAATCAATTCTATCCACTTGGCTTCTTTACATATTATTTTTATTTGTTCACTTGTCATTTATATTGTCATTTAAATTGTGCAAGCCCATGGTTTGTAATTCATTTTTCATGTAATAGGACTAGGGCCTGTAGTCTGTGATTTGAAAAGATTAAGAAGCAGCATCTCTCTGTTGCTTTCTATTGATTTAATTCTGTCCTTAACCCAATGTGGAGCAGATACAATATTCTTTAGAACCATGATGCTCAATACGATGTCACTGGCCACATGTGGCTATTTAAAATCAAATTAAAATTAAATAAAATTATATTTTTTGTTGCACATTTCAAGTGTGTAATAGCTGCAACTGGTTAGTGGCTACCATATTGGAAAGTGTAAACACAGAACATTTCCAACATTGAAGAAAGTTCTATCGGACAGAGCTGCTTTAGAAACTCTCTTAAACACACCCACACCACACTCACCGGCCACCACACACACACACACACACACACACATACATTTTTTCATCTATTCACCTCTCCTTTACCATCTGATCTTTCTCCAGTTCTCTCCATCCTTTCCCCACCTCAAACCCAAGCTGCCTATAGATAGGATGGGTGAGAGGAAGTTAGGATTGGAAGTTAAGATTGGAAGTTAGGATCCTGGTGTCAGAAAAAACAATTTTTCTACAGAATCCCAAATAATTATACAGCCTATGCTGGAACTCTTCTAGTTCCTATTTTTCAGCTCTCACAAGCTACCAGTTCCTAAAATTCAAAAAAAGATTGAGGTCAAGTCTCATGATAGTGGAAGAGACTTAAACCAAGTCTTCACCATTCTGTGTATTTAAAGACACTTCTGGAATTTCCCTGACATCTGCTTACAGACTATTTCAGGACAACTTCCTTTTAAACCGTCTCTTTTAAATACCCTCTACTTTCATATCTATCATGGAACTCCCAACCAATGGCAGGAGGCATGTGAGGAAGTCTCCAAGAAAAGAAGAAGTAAAGTATGTCGAAAGGTCCAATGAGATGGACTATGACCAATCTATACCCACAGTGCATAGCTCTGAGCCTAGTCAACAGCAGGCTCACTGTTAGCGTTGGTAGAATAAATGGAAAACAAACAAATGGATAAAGGACAGAGTAAGTTTTCCAAACAGGTTTGAGACTTATTGTTAATATCAGTAACTAGAACTTGGAAATAATTTAATGCTTTTAGTTAACATACTTTTCTTCTTACAGAAGAAATAGGTTTTATTGCAAATCCCATATCCATAATTAACTAAGTAGAGTTGTTCTGGTTTTCTGCTGTTTTGTGATTGTTTGTCTTCATGTTTGTTCTTTTTCTGCATAATGTTTTGTATTAGAAGCCCTATGTCATTCATCCGTTCATCCAGCCATTCATTCTCAAAATAGTTTTGAAAGCCTGTGTGCCAGGCACTGCTTTGATTACTCTTATAGAGACAATGTCATCCCTCTTCTATTCCTGCTGAAAAGATTAAGCAGATTTGTACATTTCCAGTCATATTTTTTTCTTAGAAATGGTTTTGTTTGTTTGATTGCCTAATTATCTAAAGGGAGAGCGAAAGTGAGGAAATTATTTTAAAATGGTAATACAAGGACAAATGTATAATAAGTGGTTGCCCCTCTGCTCTTTAAACAACAGGCCCTGAAGAGTATGAAGATTCCCTTGCTGCTTACATGTTTGTAGTCAAAAATTGTGGTGGAGGAGCAGGACCCTGCGTGGATGTTGATGATGGCGGCATTTTTTTCATTGTCAATTGTCATTGTCTCCTGAACACTGCCACCATTGTTGAGTGGGTTGATGATGTTATAAACCTAGATTTACAACAAAGACATAATGGTTCCTCCATAAATCATATGCATTTGAAAGGTAACCACCACCACCCCTTCAAGCAAAATAAAGCCTTCTGCCTGCTATGAATAAGGAATTGGAGTCTGAAATCTCTCTCCTGGGATCCCAGACCAAAAGCCTACGCTAAAATAAGAATGCAAAGCTCTTCCTCATGGTTTACTATATATTATATATGAGACTAGCAATGATATCAGAGAAGACATAAGATTGAAAACATTTTAACACAATGGGTTACATTTTTTAAGGTATTGCATTTGGAGAGAAATAATCAACCTTATTGTTTCCATTGTTGGTTATTTTGGCGATTTCATCCCAAATAGAGCATATGGACTTTCTACTGTCCTTCAAATTTTTTTGTATTCCCTTCCCTTTACTCCCCCAACATCTCCAAGAGCTAAAGCTCATAACAAACCAACATACCTCATATCCGTGAGATTGTGCCCCAAGGATGACCAGCACCACCAGAAATGCCACCTGAAAAACAGGCCAGTCATATCATTGCCTTAAGGTAGTCATCAAGGGTGGAACCATTAGGGGACACTGGACAGGAAAATCACAAATATCGAACGTACCTATGTCTAAAGACACTGGCGGGTGGTCATGAATGGTCAATAGTCTACTTCCAAAGTGAGAAACACACATTCACTCATTTAACAGGCATTTATTAAATTCGTACTATTTATCAGACAAAGATTTCTACTTTTTCCACCCAATTCCCAATCATTCCCAACATTGTAACCTTCATGTGTTCTTATGCCAGGAGCAATTTGGGGCAAGCAAGCAGTGAGGAAGAACTGAATTTACTACGAGAACACCCTGGTATGACTCACACTGGCTTTGGATTACAGGAGTCAAGCTGTGTCTCTTGGCACAAAATTCCTTTACTCCTTGAGACTGAAAAGGTAAAACAGCTCTAAAGTGGACCTGTGGGTGATAGACACACAATGGGTTTTTAAGGGAAACTAGGAAGGTAGGATGTTTGGGGGGCATTATTAACCTTTGAAGCTAAGTTCAAAGAGGACCTCTATAATCTGCTACAACCCATGCCTGGGTGATACCATCAGACAAGTATCAAATCAAAGATCCTGAGACTGACATTGAGGTAGTTCTGATATTTTGCTATAGTTGTGTAAGAGGCAGATCCAACATGCTGACTCCTGTTTGGGGCTCTTTTCTCCTGAACATCCGAGTGTACTGAACTATCATTAAAAATTGTTGATGGAAGAGGTCTGTGGGAAGGGCAGACATTTTGAAAAACTGTCAGTGGAAACTTTGTTTCCCTTTCCATCCCACCCCTGACATTTCTGGTGACTAAGGGCGGAGCCTCTAGCAAAGACCTATATGCAAATAGCTGCCTGCATACTCACACAGGGAATTATCTTCTCTCACTTCAGGTCAGCTCTAGTAACCATTGAGTCTCCTATATATATTATTTTAGTGGGTCTAAAGCAGAGGCTTGAACAGGTGGATAGAGAACCAGCCACCTTCATGGTATCATTAGAGAGAGCTCAGGAAGTGCCCATTGCCCCAGAATAACCACTAATCCAACACTACTGTGTTTAATACATCACTGGTTATACATTTGTGCTTCAGGGTTAGGTCTCCTCTTAGAATGGAGAGTCCCTTGGAAGAGGTAGCTCTTTAAGGTGACAATCTTTAACACATTACTTACCATTTTACTTTCTCCCTCAGCAGCTGAATAAGTACTAAGGGGACAGACACTGAGGGAAGGGATTCCATTCTGGGTGAAAACATAGTCCCCCACCCATACGACACTGCAGTGTGGAAGTATGGGAGACTGGGACCGTGTAAGGCAGCTGGAGGAGTGGGGGTGGTGATGGCAGAAATGCTTCCCTTAGGGGAAAATTAAGACCAGATGGGTAGCCACTGAAGACCTGCTGGCTGCATAAATTTTGCCATGGTTGGTCCTGTAGGTAGCACCCATGGTGGGTAAACTTCAAGCCTAAAGCTTACATTTTCTGGTTTGGGAAAACCATCTTCCTTTGGGCCTCAGTCTCCTCATCTGTAAAATGTGGAAAATAATACACAGCTCGAAGGATTGTTTCAGTAAATAGATGGAGTTATTCATATGAAATGTTTAGCATAGTGCCTAACATGCACGTGGGAAATGACAGCTGCTATTGTTATTATTATCATTGTTGATATTATTTTTTGAATAAGTATCTTTTGGATAGTAAATGCAGTTCTAAAATGCCAACATTTCCTCCAGAGTTCATAATAATGAATTGCTATTAAAAATCCTTCAGATTAAAATTCTCTAGACATTTCCAAAACTTTTTTCTGTTTTTTTAGTAAACACCTCAAAAAATAGACAATAGACAAATAAATATTCAACTCAATATTTAACACTATTCCTGCCAAAACCCATTACCCATTGCTGTCCAGTCAATTCCAACTCATAGTAACCCTACAGGACTGAGTAGAAGTGCCCTTTAGGGTTTCCAAGGAGGAGTGGCTGGTGGATTCGAACTTGGGATCTTTTGGTTAGCAGCCGAGCTCTTAACCACTGCCCCACCAGGACTCCATTCCTGCCAAAGAAATCATTAATTAAATCACAGAAACTTCATTTTAAGCTCTTCTCTTAGAAGATGCTTAGTGTTTGTCTAAGATCCTTGAAATTCAAAGTATATTAGACATGAACATTCTCTGCAAACAGCCACCACGAGAGTATAAAGAAGCATAAACAAATACTCACAGCAATTTTCATTTTGCCTACAGGGAGGAAGAACAAGCTGGAGCAAGCGAAGCTGACTGTTGCAGCTTCTACCGTTTATATTGGCTTTAAGGTGTGGAAATCTCTTCTCAGAACTATCACTTTGGAAAAGACTATGTCTATATCACTGACACACCCAGCAAACTCCTTTATCAGGACCGAGGCCCAGCCACATAACCTGATATCAACGAAGTTCATTAGTCAGTCGTGAAAATTCACCACTTGCTCCCTCGGTAAATATTCCCTGCTTATCTCTTCTGTTTCATTTGAGATTTCAAATCCCACCCTTTAAAAATATGTCAAGGTGCTCATTCTACATATACATTTTATAGACATATAGGTTCATATTCCAAATATCTCCTCAAGATGGTAAAATTCTTCCTGGAGACATGAGTTGTAGCCCCATCCAATGTCTTCTCATCACTGTCCTGCTTGTTGAATTCTTCCACCCAAGGGAAGACTGGGAGGTGAAGATGGTGGCTGGAGGTACTGCTTTGAGAACAAACAACTTTGACTTTGTTTCTCCTTTCTTTTAGAGATGGTGTCAAATTGCAGAGACTGATGAGGAACAAGATTCATAGAACACTCTGCCCAATTACCGGGGTTAACCAATCTTTTTGCATTCAGTCTTGCCCTAAACTACATGAAAACCAATAATTATGTGTCTCTAGAGATCATAAGGTCCACTGAGAAATTTTTAGTTTAAAACAAGTGGGAGAATAAAGTTTAATTCAAGCGATTTTTATAACGCCACAATTAGAAATGGTGGCTAGCTAGTGGTAAGGTGGGATCATGAACTCAGAAGGCAGGAAAAAAATAAAAATAAACAGCACCTGTAAATTGCAAAATTGTAGAAGACTGAGAATCACCACAATAAGCAAAGATACAGTGTGAGCCATGCCCTTGTTCTACAGCAGGAGCAACTTCCTCCCTAGCAGCTTAAAAAAAAAAAGGGTACATTTTAAAAATGAGCATTTGGGTAATTTGGGGGGGTTATCTAGTTCCCTGGAGTTCCCCTACCCTGGGTGTTCAGCTGGGGCAGTGTAAAATATTAAATCTTTCTGTGATAGCAGAAGCAAAAGGGATTATAATTTTGTAGTGCATCTGCAAATTTTTTCTCATATCTGGTTCCAAAGACCCAAAAAAGCAAGCTACCTCCAGTCTATAGGCACTAGGACAAACCAAGATGTTATACCCTACCTCTTTGTCCCCTTCCAGTCCTCCTGTCCTGACTCAATAATAATGACAATAACTAGCATTTATGGAGCACTTACATTCCAGCACTTTCTAACCATTTTGCATATATTGACTCATTTATCCTTGTTCCATTTTACAGACAGGAAAGGTGTAGGCAAGTTAAGCGACTCCCCAGGGTTACACAACTTCTGGAGCAGGAGTTGGAATTTGAGCACAGACTCCAGAGTCCACACTCTTAATTACAAGTACTATACAGCCTCTTTGATTACTTGCTGGGTAACTTCTTGCGTTGCAGAAATAGAGGCAATAGCAAAGAGGCTTCTGCTTCCAGAATGTTTCTTCACCAAAAGACAGCCGTGGAAATAGTCAGGTCCACCCACAATTCAAGAGTGAAAACTTTCAAATAGAGGGAATGAGAAGCTGTGTTTGTAAAATGCATTGTGAATGAAATTCACGCCTAAGATGCCCTGCACCCCCTTGAGTGGGGAACTCACTGACATGGAAGGGCCTCATAGAGTTTGCGCAGCAGAACCCACACATCAGGTACTCTGAAGCAATTGGCCTGAGAAGGGGCACAGGCAAATGGGCTGCTAAAACATACATGGATGATTCTGATTAAAAGAGCTTCTTCATGTCTTAGCTGCCAATCACTTAACCGTTGCACCACGAGGGTTCCTACCATAAGCAAAATTAATACCAAATTAATTTTTAAAATAAGTATAAACCATGTACATGATACGAAAAAAGTCTTAAAAAAAAAAAAAACTAGGAGAAAATATAGGTGGACTTTTAGCTAATTTTGGAAATCCAGAAGGATTTTCTAAGCCTGAAAGCACAGGAATAAATCACAAGAGAAAGGACATATAAGCTTAACAGCATCAAAAATATAAAAGATGGTTGATTGTTTTCTTAAAAATCTAAAACTGAGGGAAAATACTTTTAACATATATGAGAGACAAACGGTAATATCTCCAACTTACAAAAAATTTTTACAAATTTACAGGAAAGTAATGAACACATATACTTTTGTTTTTTTTAATGGACAAAAGACCTGGTTAGAGCGAGAGAGGAGATAATAGGAGATGGTGAAGAATCGAGGCCCTGGAAACATACTGCCTGGATTTGAAATTTGAATTTCTAATTTCTCAAAATTAGAAATTTAATAATGCCTGATTATCTTCATCTGTAAAGAAAGGGTAATAAAGTTCCTCCTCACTGTGAACATTGTTGTTGTTGTGTGCCATTGAGTCCATTTCAACTCATATTGACCCTGTAGGACAGAGTAGAAAGGTCCCTATAGGGTTTCCTAAGCTGTAATCTTTACAGGAGCAGATCATCAGATCTTTTCTCCTGCGGAGCGGCTGGGTAGGTTCAAACTATCAACCTTTTGGTTAGCAGCCAAACACTTAACCATTGTGCCACCAGGGCTCCTTGTGACATTAACGAGACCATATACGTAAAGTACTTAGAACAATCACTGACACAGAGTAAGTTCTCAATAAAATTTATCTAATATTATTATCACTATGTATTATAAATAAAACATATTCAACCTCGTGTATTATTCCAAACCCAAAACCAAACCCATTGCTGACAAGTGGATTCTGACTCATAGCGACCTATAAGACAGAGTAGAACAACCTCATAGGATTTCCAAGGAGTGGCTGGTGGATTCGAACTGCTGACCTTTTGGTTAGCAGCCATAGCTCTTAAGCACTGCACCACCAGGGCTCCCATGTATTATTAGGGAATTATAAATTTAAGCAGCATTATTAAATTACATTAAAATGGAATTAAATTAGAAATCAATAACAAAAAGCTATGTGGAAAATCCCCAATTATCTGGCAATTAATAAATAAAAGTAAAAACCTCTTCTAAATAAGCTATTGGTCAAAGAGGAAGTCACAAAGTAAATTAGAATTTTTTTTAATTGAATAAAGTGAAAATATATCAAAATCTATGAGATGCAGTTAAAGCAGTGATTAGAGAGAAATTCATAGCATTGAATACTTACATTAGAAAAAAGAAAGGTCTCAAATAAATGATCTAAGTGTCCACCTTAAGAAACTCGAAAACAAATACCAAATTAAACTCAAAGCAAACATAAAGCAAGAAATAATAAAGATAAAAACAGAAAACAAAGAAATTGGAAAATACAAAAGAGAAAATCGGTGGAAAAAAGACAGTGGTTTATTTAAAAGCTCAATTAGATTGATTAATCTCTAGCCAGACTGTTCAAGAAAAAAAAGAAAGAAGACAGGAATTATAAATATCCACAATGAAAAAGAGAACACCCCTACTGATCCTACACCAACTGAAAGAATAATGAGGAAATATTACACAAAACTTTATTCCACAAATTTGACGGCCTATAAGAAATGGACAAAATTCTTGAAAGACACAAACTACCAAAGCTCACTCAAGAATAAATAAATCACCTGAATGGCCCTTGAATTTGTAGTTATAAACCTTTCTACAAACAACTCCAGGCCTACAGGGTTTCACAGGAGAATTCAACCAAACATTTAAGGGAAAAATAATATGGATTCTACACAAATTCTTCCAGAAAATAAGAGAGGAAAGAAAAATTCCTAATTCATCCTATACTACTAATACCAAAATAGGCAAAGATATTATGAGAAAGTAAACTACAGGTAAATATCTTCATGAACATAGATGAAAAAATTCTCAAAAATATTAGAATATTGAATACAGCAATGTATAAAAATAACACATCATGACCAATTGAACATTATTCAAGGAATGCAAGGTTTGTTCAACATTTGGAAATCAATCAATATAATTCAATATATTATAAATTAAAAAAACACACACCATATGATCATCTTGGAAGGTGCAGAAAATGCATTTGACAAAATTAAACATCTATTCATGATAACAACTCTCAACAAACTAGGAATAGAATTTTTGTCAACCTGAAAAAAGGCATTTACAAAAAAACTACATGTCACTTCAGATTTAATGGTGAAAAATGAAATGCTTTCCCCATATGATCAGACACAAGGCAAGGAAGTTCATTCTCATGGTTTCTATTAATCCTCATACGTGGGAGCACAGCCAATGCATAGGCAAGAAAAGGAAATACGTACAGAACTGGGAAGGAAGAAATAAAACTATCTCTATCACCAACATAATTGTCTATATAGAAAATCCCAAAGAATCTACAAAAAATCTACTAGAACTAATAAGTATAGCAAACTCACAAAATGCAAACTCAATATGAAAAAATCAATTTTTGTATATTAGCAATAAATATTGAAAATTCAAATGAAAAAATACCCTTTACAATAACATCCCCCAAAATACTTAGGTAAAAAGCTAACAAAATACATGCAGAATCTGTATGCAGAAAATTAGAAAACATTGATGAAAGAAATCAAAAAAGATCTAAGAAATGGAGAGATGTACCATGTTTATTGATCAGAAGGCTCAATATTGTTAAGATGTCAGTTATTCCCACTTTTATAGATTCAATGCAATTCCAATCAAATTTCCAGCAGAATTTTTTTAGAAATCATAAAGCTAATTCTAAAATTTATATGAAAAAATCAAAGAAGCTAGAATAGCCAAAACACTTGTAAAAGAAGAACAAACTTGGAGGATCACCCTACTTGATTCCAAATTTTTCTACAAAGGTACAGTAATTATGTCATTGGTACTGGTCAAAAGATAGATGTGTGGATCAACGGAACAAAATAGAGAGCTCAGAAATAGACCTACATATACACAGTCAACTGATTTCTGACATAGGCACAAAGGTAATTCAACAGAGAGA